AGTGGCTCACGCCTGCAATCCAGCCAGTTTGTGAGGCAGTGGCAGGTGATCACCTGAGTCAGAGTTCCAGACCAGTCTGGCCAAACATGGTGAAACCCCACCCTACTAAAAAATACAAAAATTCCTGGGCTGGTAGGAGACACCTGTAATCCCAGCTACTCGGGGGCTGAGGCAGGAGAATTGCTTGAACCCAGTAGGCAGAGGTTGGGTTGAGCCGAGATCACACCTCTGCCACTCCAGCCTGGGCCACAAGAGCAAGACTCTGTCGAAAAGAAAAGAAAAGAAAAGAGAGAAAGAAAAAAAAAAAAAAGGAAAATCAGTCAGATTTGCTTCAGCCTCAAACAGCCATGTTTCTTAAAATTAAATGAGCTCGCCGGGCACGGGCTCCAAGCTGTAATCCCAGCATTTTGAGGCCGAGACGGGCGATCACGAGGTCAGGATATCGAGACCATCCTGGCTAACACGGTTGAAACCCCGTCTCTACTAAAAAAAATACAAAAAAACTATGGGCGCGGTGGCGCGCCCTGTAGTCCCGGCTACTCGGGAGCTGAGGCAGGAGAATGGCGTAAACCCAGAAGGCGGAACTTGTAGTGAGCCGAGATCCGGCACTGCACTCCAGCCTGGGCGGCCAGAGCAGACCTCCGAGAATCTCTGGAACCATGAATAGGAGCACAAAAACAAGAAGAAATGGTATCCTCAGCACTATTCGGAAATGGTACTTCATCGTGTTTGAATCGGTTGTATTCACACTATCTGAGGGGAAAGATCTGGTAGACATGTTAACTTGTCTTTTATCTAAGTCCTTTTCTGCCCACAGCTTCTCTGTACTTTCAAAATAGTGCCTAACAGAGGCCCCATTCAACCTTTAGATGTAGTTATTTTTCCCATAGACAGAGGATAAGATGTGAAGAAGCATATCTCTGGGGCCTGAACGTTGTCAGTCAAGAGAGGATGTGTAGAGTTAGCTGGTGCTGCGCCAATGCCAGGCATCAGATCCAGACTAGCAGAGGCATCCTGTGGGCCTTTATTTATTTATTTATTTATGACAGAGTCTTGCTCTGTCACCCAGACTGGAGTACAGTGGTGCGATCTCTACTCACTGCAACCTCTGCCTCCCGGGTTCAAAGGATTCTCATGCCTCAGCCTCCCGAGTAGCTGGGATTACAGGTGTGCACCACCACACCTGGCTAATTTTTGTATTTTTAGTGGAGACGGCATGTTGGCCAGGCTGGTCTCGAACTCCTGACCTCAGGTGATCTGCCCACTTTGGCCTCCCAAAGTGCTAGGATTACAGACATGAGCCACCGCACCCGGCCCTGTAGTCCTTAATTAATTAATTTTTTTTTTTTGTATGTAGAGTTCTTACTGCAGGACCCAGTCAGGGGATCCTCTTGTCAGCTCTAAGGACAGGACTGGGAAGATATGCTTCTGTAAGTAAACTGTTGTAGAAAACAGAGGAAATTTTTTTTTCCCCCCCGAGATGGAGTCTTGCTCTGTGGCCCAGAGGTGGAGTGCAATGGCGCAGTCTTGGCTCACCGCAACCTCCTTCTCCCGGGTTCAAGCAATTCTGCCAGGCTCCCGAGTAGCTGGGATTACAGGCGCCTGCCACCACACCTGGCTAATTTTTATATTTTTAGTAGAGACAGGGTTTCACCATGTTGGCCAGGCTGGTCTCAAACTCCTGACCTTGTGATCTGCCCATTGTGGCCTCTCAAAGTGCTGGGATCACAGGCGTGAGCCACAGCGCCCAGCCTACAGATGAAATTTTAAGGAAATGTCTGCTTTGAATGCTGAATAAAATATAAGAAAAAACCAAAAATAACACAGTCTGCTGAAATTCTGACAGCAATGATAAAAGAATTTCCAAGGAACTAAAATCCAGTGACAAAAATGAAATCAATCAAGGCTGAATCGCACACCTGAGACATTCCTCGAGAAGGCAGAGGAGAAAGGTGTGAAACAGTGAACCAGAGAAGGATGGCCAGGGACAACAAAGATTGGAGTGCTGAAGTTGAATGACAGATATTCTGGACAAAGACCCCAGAGACGACAAAAGGTGGGTCTGCAGAGCTGACAGGTGTACTCTGTTCCAAAACAACACACAAAAAGACCGTCACCACTTAGACATATTTCAAATCATATAATTAATAAGACTGAATTTTTGGCTTTATTATCAGGCTTGTCTTTACTCCACAGAATGTATACCTTCTCAAATTGTTCAGGAATATTTATACAAATTGATGTAAACTCTGTTACAAATAATACCTCAAGCTTTCCAAGAAGAAATTATAGAGGCTCCATATTCTGACTACAATTAAAATCCCACAATTTCTTCTAGTTTAAAAAAACCTCACACATATCCCCAAAAGTTCTTACGTCAAAGACAAATTCAGATCTAGAATATCAGGTTTCAGCTGGACGCGGTGGCTCACGCCTTTAATCCCAGCATTTTGGGAGGCTGAGGCAGTAGGATTGCTTGAGCCCAGGAGGCTGAGGCAGCAGTGAATCGTATTTGGGACACTGCACTCAAGTCTGGGCAACAGAGCAAGATCTTGTCTCAAAAAATAAATTCAATTTTAAAAAGTTTAAATAGCAGGTTTCTAAAACAATGAAAAAGACAGCATTACATATCAAAGTGTCTACAATTTAACCAAAACTATACTTATAAGTAAATTCATTGTCTTAACTGCTTTTGTTCCAATAAAACAAAAGAGCACGATCCTGAGGCTTCGATGCTATTTTCTTAATCCAGCTGGTCTGTGGAGAAGCCTGGGACAGAAAGAAGCAGAGAGACTCCAGAATCCCCCATTTTAATAGCTGTTCTGTGCTATGTCCCTGTCTCATTCCTGGCCACTTATCTCTCAGCTCATGCACTGTGACATTACAGCAAGAAGCACTAACATAAACAACCCAGGAAAGAAACCATGGGGTTTTGCTTGTTTTATGAGCTAGGTGGGCGTTGTGAACGTGGAGGTGGGAAACGATCAGGAGACACAGGTGTCCGACGAGCATTTGCCATGTATCAGGCACTGCGCAATGTTCCTTACATACCACGATCCCACTTAACCCTCCAAAAGCACTGCAGAGGGGCTATCACTGCCTTCCTTTTACATACGAAAAACCTGAGACTTAACAGTTGCCCCTGGGAAGCTGAACCAAGAGTCAAAACAAAACACTTTCAGGCTCCAAAGACTGCACTCTTTCCGCTGCACAAAGTTGTCTGCACCGTGCATCACTACCAGCTTCCTTGAGCCTTTATACAGAACTCGCAACAGAGGAGAGGAAATGGGACTAAAAACAAAACCCAAAAATCCAATAAATGAAACAAAATAAATGAACTGAGCATTCAACCCAAAATGTTACAAGGAGCAGAAGGAAAACATTTCCAAGGAAAACAGGAAGAAGCAAAGCTTAAGAATAAAAAGCGTGACTTACACATTTAATTGGATCCAGGGGAAACTGTTGGGACGAGATGTCAAAAACTGAGTTAGGAAATGACTGGAGAACTTGTGTATTACATTCCACTTACTATGGACCTTGGGTCCTTCTCTGTAACACTAATGTTGGACTAAATTCTTCAAAGTTTCCTTGCAAGGACAGGCCACTCTGAAGCCAAGGGGTTACCACCAACCAACAGACTCCTTTAATAATAACACAGTAGGTAAATTACCCCACAAGGTAAATATGACTGATTATCTTATAGTAGCAGGTTTTAAATTCTTGCTGTCTCAAAAGCATTGCTATGGGCCAGGCGCAGTGACTCACACCTATAATCCCAACACTTCGAGAAGTTGAGGCGAGAGGATTGCTTTAGCACAGGAGTTCAAGACCAGCCTGGGCAACATAGTGAGACGCTGTCTCTACAAAAAATAAAATAAAGTAAATTAGCAGGGCATAGTGGTGTGTGTCTATAGTTCCAGCTACCTGGGAGGCTGAGGTGGGAGGATCACCTGAACACAGGTCAAGGCTGCAGTAAGCTATGATTGCACCACTGCACTCCCCAGCCTGGGTGACAGAACGAGAGTGTCTCAAGAAAGCATTGCTAAACACTTTCTTCCATAAAATTATATTCTGCCCTGAGGGAGGCCCCTAGTGGGACTGTGAAGTGTCAACCCCTGCTGCTGGCCCCTGAGGGCAGCGGGCAAGGAAGGAGCATGGGTCTGTGCAGTGGGAAGTGCCAGGGAAAAGCCCCTGGATTGGGTCACTGTGAAATGCAAAGTGAGTGAAATACAAAATACCTTTTAAAAGGCAAATATGGACCTTAATGAATGAGTCTGGGTAACAGCTGGACGGGAGAAATCCCAGGGTGAGCCAGCCCAAACACGCCATCCACGTAGTTAAAAAAAGAACATGCCACCCCAATGGTCAGCCCTGTGAGAAACACATCCTTCCATCCAGCTAAAATCTGCCTGTGTCCATCTTCTCTGCTCAACACCAGTCCCCATGCATTGGGCCACAGAGCACTGTACCTTCCTGCACGGAATAGCCAGCCACTGGGCTTCAGCGCCAAACAAACCTGGGCTCAAGGCCCAGCCCTGCCCCCCTGTTGTGGGATGTCCAGGACAATGGTGCTAGTAGTTGATGAGCCCATCTGGCCCACCTCTGCCTGGCTGTATTTGTAGCTAGTACATGTATAGTATATAGGTGCCTGACTGTATCTGTATGTTCCAGAGTGGTCAGGGTGGTCATAGCTGAACTTTTTTTTTTTTTTTTGAGTCTGTATTGTCCAGGCTGGAGTGCAATAGCACGATCACAACTCACTGAAGCCTTAAATTTCCAGCCTTAAGTGATCTACCTGCCTCAGCCTCCTGAGTAGCTGGGACTACAGACCTGCACCACCAAGCCTGGCTAATTTTTAAAAATATTCGTAGAAGTTGGGGGGATCGGGGGGCTCTGTTGCCCAGGCTGGTCTCGAACGCCTGGCCTCAAGTGATCCACCTGCTTTGGTGCTGGGATTACAGTGGTGAACCATCACTCCCAGCTTCCTTGAGCCTTTATACAGAACTCGCCTTTGAGTTAGTTTCTGTTGTATATTCTAGTTAGGGCATTATATTGATTTTTAAAAATTACTATCATTCTGAATGAATAACAAATTGTGGTACATTCATACTGTGGAATAGCACTCAGCAATAAAAAGTAATGAGGGGAGGTGGGGATGGTTAATGGGTACAAAAAAAAAAAGAATGAATAAGACCTAGTGTTAGAGAGCACAATAGGCTGGCTATAGTCAATCATAATTTAATTGTATATTTAAAAATAACTAATGGCCAGGCGCAGTGGCTCATGCCTGTAATCCCAGCACTTTGGGAGGCTGAGGCAGGTGGGTCACCTGAGGTCAGAAGTTCAAGACCAGCCTGACCAACCTGGTGAAACCCTGTCTCTACTAAAAATACAAAATTAGCTGGGCCTAGTGGCTCATGCCTGTAATCTCAACTACTTGGGAGGCTGAGGCAGGAGAAATGCTTGAACCCAGGAGGCGGAGGTTGTAGTGAGCCAAGATAGCGCCATTGCACTCCAGCCTGGGAGACAAGAGTGAAACGCTGTCTCAAAAAACAAAATAAAAAATAAAAATAATTAAGAGTGTATAACTGGATTGCTTGTAACACAAAGGATAAATGCTTGAGGGACTGGAGACCCCATTTTCCATGATGTGATTCATTCCTGTATGAAAACATCTCAGGTATTCCAGAAATACATACACTTACTATGTACCCACAAAAACTACAGAGCCAGACTCCATCTCAAAAAAAAAAAAGAAAAAGAAAAGAAAAGAAAAGAAAAGAGAAAGAAAGCAGATCAGTAGTTGCTTGGGGGTGAGGGGGAAGTAGAAAGGGCAGGAAGCAGGATCACCAAGGGCAACAAGGAAATTTTTTGGGAGGATGGCTTTCTTCACTATCTTGATTGTGATAATGATTTCAGCTGTATACTAAGGGTCGGGTATTATAAAATTGTAATCTCTATATAGGCAGTTTATTATATGTCAGTACCTCAATAAATCTGTCTAAAGCGTTCAAAAATTACTGTAATTATACAAAATATATTTTATGAAAAGGAAGTCATGAGTGGAGTATGGTTGAGAACCCCAGCATCAGGTAGATTCAGAAGTGGAGAAAAGCATCTCCCACTTTCCCTTTTTCAAGCCAGCGGGCTGTGCAATTTATTCTGTGGCCACTAGAGGACAGCAGCGACTCATGTACAGGAAGTGGGCGTTTCAGGGCTTCAATACTTAGAATTTCCAGCTCTGTGCTCCCTATCCTGGGAGGTGGGCGTTAATACCCCATAATACTCAGAACTGAGACTTGGGCCTTAGTCTCTGGCTCCTGATTACGCCTTGTTGGTCCCCCCACACCGGGAGTACAGAAAGGTCGCCCAGACTGGAGTTCTGTGGCACCATCTCGGCTCACTGCAACCTCCGCCTCCCAGGTTCAAGCGGTTCTTCTGTCTCAGTCTCCCAAGTAACTGGGATGACAGGCACCCGCCACCACGCCCAGCTAATTTTTGTATTTTTAGTAGAGATGGGGTTTCACCACGTTGGTCTGGCTGGTCTCAAACTCCTGACCTCATGATCCACCTGCCTCAACCTCCCAAAGTGCTCCCAGATCTTTTTAAAAGAATGTCCTACTCCAGTGAGGCAGCAGCCATAGTTCCCTGTCTGTTATCTGCAGGGCTGATATGGAGGATTGCAGATGGCACCAAAGAGTTATGATTCCCAAGGTGACTTTGGAAGGCCTACCACCTTGCCTGAAACCCACGATTATAAAGCAGGTCAAAGTTGTATCATCAGATGCTGATGTCAGTGAGAAAATGATGTACCAAAGGGTCATTTTTATAGGAGAGAGGAAAAGGAAAGAAGGTTCAATTGAGGGGTAGGGGACGTGACGGTGGAGCGCCCATGGGTGCTGCAATGGAAGCTTCCCCCAAAAAAGTAATCGTGGGCCAGGCACGGTGGCTCTGGACTGTAATCCAGCACTTTGGGAGGCCGAGGTGGGCAGATCACTTGAGCTCAGGAGTTCAAGACCAGCCTGACAAACAGGGCGAAACCCCATCTCTACTAAAAATACAAAAATTAGCTGAGCGTGGTGGCGTGCACCTGTAACCCCAGCTACTCAGGAAGCTGAGGCAGGAGAATCAATGAAACACAGAAGGCGGAGGCTGCAGTGAGCCGAGATCCCACCACTGCACTCCAGCCTGGGTAACAGAGCAGGACTCTGTCTCAAAAAAAAAAAAAAAAAGCAAAAAACAAACAATTGTGAACATACATTGAGCCACCTCAGTGTGTGAGGCATGATGCTAAACACTCTATGCAGGGAGTCATCTCATCTTCACAGCACTCCTATGCTATGCTATGCTGTGCTATGCTGTGCTATGCTATGCTATGCTGTGCTGTGCTGTGCTGTGCTGTGCTATGCTATGCTATGCTATTCTATTCTAGTCTATTCTGAGACAAAGTCTCGCTCTGTTGCCCAGGCTAGAGTGCAGTGGTGTGATCTCAGCTCACCGTAACCTCCACCTCCCAGGTTCAAGCGATTCTCTCCTGCCTCAGCCTCCTGAGTAGCTGGGATTACAGGTAAAAACCACCACACCCAGCTAATTTTTGTATTTTTAGTAGAGACGGGGTTTCACTATGTGGGCCAGGCTGGTTTCAAACTCCTGACCTCAAGTGATCTTCCTGCCTCAGCCTCCCAAAGTGCTGGGATTACAGGCATGAGCCACGGTTCCCAGCTGACAGCACTCTTACTAAATAAGAGTGGTTAAGAGACTAAATGCAGAGAGGTTACGAAACGCCTAATGGGTCTGGCATGGTGGCTCATGCCTGTAATCCCAACATTTTGGGAGGCCAAGGTGGGCAGATCACTTGAGCCCAGGAGTTCAAGACCAGCCTGGGCAACATGGCAAGACCCTGTCTCTACAAAAAAGTTACAAAAATTAGCCAGGCATGATGGTGTGTGCCTGTAGCCCCAGCTACATGGGAAGTTTAGGCAGGAGGATCCCTTGAGCCTGGGAGTTCGAGGCTGCAGTAAGCTATGATTGCACCACAGCCTGGGTATGAGAGTGACACCCTGTCTCAAAGAAAAAAAGCAATTGTGGACGCACACTGAACCCTTCTGGTGGGTGAGGCACGATGCCAAACACTGTATGAAGGGAATCATCTCATCTTCACGGCATTCTTAAATAAGCTGCAGAGAGGTTAAGAACGCCCAAAGTCACAGAGCTGGTAGGAGGCAGTGCAAGGATTTGCATCCAGATTTGACACTAACGTGTGGGCCTCACTACGGCTCTATAGTACCCACTTAAATGGAAGTGTCCTTCTCGATTACTTAGTTCATGTGTTAAACTCATTGGTGTTGGCAGCAGATGGTGAGTACTGTAGTTCAGCTTTCTGGAGAAAGCTCGTCAGGCTTCAAGAGAATGTTAAGCATCTGTGATGGTCTGGGAGGGAGGTTCCCTCTCCACCCCTTCACCACTTTACATGAAGCATTTACAGTGTGGGAGTTTCCATGCTAAGGATGATACTTCCATGATGACAGTATCTGAAGGGCAGGTGGGCAGAGGCCAGCAACATGGAATTGAGGGGTCAGGGATGCAGCAATCCAGTGACATTGTTCATTTGCACTCACAGGGGTCTGTCACACGCAGCCCAACTCAACTGGAGTCCTGAGAAGGTGACCAGACCAGGATGGAGGCACAGGAAACTCACCAGAAGTCCCCAGGCATCAGAACAAGGTCGAAGCATCCTGGTGAGCAGATAACACGTGCCCACGGTTTGTGGGAGGAAGTCCTCCAGCAGTTTCTCCTTTCCCTTAGATTTGACCCGGCCTACCTGGGATTATGCAGCTGATTCTCCGGGCCAGGTGCCTCCGGGAGGTGACCCTTCCTGTTCTGCGTTCTGCAGAAGCCAGCAGCTCTGGGCTTGTGCCCATCAAGCACTCTTCTGCCCACTGTATACTCTTGTGGATGCATGGTGGTGTTGACACAGGCCCCGAGTTAAAGGCTCCATGGCGGCCCGTGACAAGACAAAGCAAAAGAAGGCCAGAGTTGCGGCCGGGCGCGGTGGCTCACGCCTGTAATCCCAGCACTTTGGGAGGCCGAGGCGGGCAGATCACAAGGTCCGGAGATGGTGACCACGGTGAAACCCCATCTCTACTAAAAATACAAAAAAATTAGCCGGGCGCGGTGGCGGGCGCCTGTAGTCCCAGCTACTCAGGAGGCTGAGGCAGGAGAATGACGTGAACCCGGGAGGCGGAGCTTGCAGTGAGCCGAGATCGCGCCGCTGCACTCCAGCCTGGGCAACAGAGTGAGACTCCGTCTCAAAAAAACAAAAAAAAGAAGGCCAGAGTTAAACGCGCCCCTTGGGTCCCCTCCTTCACTTCATAAATGGGAAAAGCAAGGTCTAGGCAGGGAAAGGGACTCAGCCAAGACCAGATACATAGTACACTAGCTGGGGTTAGGACTCCCAGCATACCCCGTGGCCTTCTCTAATGAAAGATTTTGCTGCTGGGTTCTTCTTTATCAAGTGTTAGTCACACGTTATCTTTCTCTGTGTTTCTTAAAGCAATTATTCTTTAATATCATTATATATTCAGTAAGTGTTCAAATTTCCAACTGTTTTATGTCAGAAAGCATTTTCTAACATTTTGATTAAATCAAGATCCAAACAAGATGCACACAATATGATTAGTTGATGTCTCTTAAATCTTTTAATCCATGATTCCTCTTTCATCTTTCTCTTTTTCCCTTTATTCTTTTTTTTTTTTTTTTTTTTTCAGATGGAGTTTCGCTTTCTTGGCCCAGGCTGGGAGTGCAGGGGTGGGGTGCCGGATCTCAGCTCACTACAACCTCTACCTCCCAGGTTCAAGCAATTCTCCTGCCTCAGCCTCCTGAGTAGCTGTGATTACAGGCACCTGCCACCATGCCTTGGCTAATTTTTGTATTTTTCATAGAGATGGGGTTTCACCATCTGGGCCAGGCTGGTCTCAAACTTCTAACCTCAAATGATCCACCTGCCTAGGCCTTCCAAAGTGCTGGGATTACAGGCATGAGCCACCGCACCCAGCCTTCTTTTGTTCTTGAATAAGCCCCATCATGCATCCTGCAGATATCACCCATGGTCTGGATTTTGATTACTGCAAATCCATGATGTCATTTATACATGTTTCTCTGTCTTCTATATTTCCTATAAGTGGATAGTTGAATCCAGAGGCCTGATCAGATGAAGATTTTGAGTTTTTGGCAAGACTTGTTCTTAGTAGGTATTATGTTCTTCCACAGAAGGCACAGAATGTCTGGCGACTTCCTTTTTGTGACATTAATAGCTATTGGCATTCAATGTCTAGACCAGTTACTTCACTGGGGGTTAGAAATGGTGATATTCTTTTTATTTTTTTTTTGATGGGGTGGGGAGACAGAGTCTCACTCTATCACTTAGGCTGGAGTGAAGTGGCAGGATCTCCGCCTCCTGGGTTCAAGCGATTCTCGTGCCTCAGCCACCTGAGTAGCTGAGACTACAGACATGTGCCACCACACCTGGCTAATGTTTTGTATTTTTAGTACAGACAGGGTTTCACCATGTTGCCCAGGCTGGTCTCGAACTTCTGAGCTCAAGCAATCAGACGGCCTCGGCCTCCCAAAGTGCTAGGATTACTGGCATGAGCCACTGTGCCTGGCCCAGAAATGGTAATGTTCTAATTCTATCATCCTGTCTTCATATTAGCTGGGTTACTTCTAAAGAGAAACTCCTTCTCATTAACTATTCCATTACCCGGAGTCTTATCTCATCAATACTGGGAGGATTCTGGGTACGTGGATTATCCCCACTTCCACGTCAGGCCAGAGGTCAGAGGGGCTGAAGGAACTGTTACCAGCAGAAGAATTGGCTGGCCCCAGTCAACCGACAACATCATAATAAATAATTAAGAAGCGAGGGCTGGGTGTGGTGGCTTACGCCTGTCATCCCAGGGCTTTGGGAGGCCTGAGCGGGAGGCTTGCTTGAGGCCAGGAGTTTGAGGCTGCAGTGGCCTATGGTCACACCATTACACTCCAGCCTACGCAACAGAGTGAGACCCTCTCTCTAAAGAAATTAATAATAAAGTGGTTGTTTTAAGGCCCTAAATCAGGCAGCAGCCCATGTGTGGCAAAACCAGGCCTAGGAGCCCCTGGGTCCTTTCCTCCCTTCACAGGAGGTCAGACCTGCACAGAGTCACCAAGAGCATGGAGTTCAGCCTCGCCATGTGCAGATGGGGCCACTGAGGACTGGGAGGTGTAGTGACTCATCCAGGCTTGCACACATAACCCAGGTCACGGGCATATCCTTAAAGGAAACTCCTGAAAAGTCCTTGTGATGGGTTTCAGTGTCTTGGCTGGCTGGGCCTGATGTTCTCACTCTAAAGCCCATACTTGTAAGCACTTGCAGTAGGCCCACCATTTGACCTGATCTTATTTCCTGTGGTATTCTCAATGCTGATAACAGATGCTTGGTAAATATCTGTTGAAATGAGTCAATGAATGAAGGAGCCGTTGTTTCTGTATGTCAGGAACAGGCTGCTCCTGGGGGAGATACTGGAGGCGTTGGGGTATCCAGAAAGCAGCCACCCTGGCAGGCCCAGGGCAGGAGCCAAGGGCACAGGGATAAGTGGGAAGCAGGGAGTGAGAGGCCAGCAGCAGAGCCCAATCCAGGAAAGCAAGCAGAGTGGGAGGCCTGCCATCCACCCTGGCAAGGGACCAGCCGAGGAACAGGATCCTGCTGGATGGGGAGGCAGCATGGACGGGGTTCCAGCAGGTAGCAGGGGCCAGCCACTGAGCTGGGCCAAGGGCAGAACTCCAGTTGCAGGATGGAGCAGGCCAGGCCCCTCCTCCTTACACTGGGCAGGTGACCAAGGCAGGAACTCAGGCCCAAGGAGCAAATCCTACTGTATCAGGTAGGATTCAGTTGGGTTGAGAAGAATGAAAACCCTCAAATATCATTGGCTCAAACAAGTTCGAAGCTCAGTTTCTCTCTCATGTTTAGCTGTCCTGAGGGAGTCATTCCAGAGCCAACAGGGTGCTCCATGATGCAAAGGGAGAGGGGACCCAGGCTCCTGTCTTACTGCTCTGCTAACCACAAACATGACTTCTACCCCATGGTACAATATGGCGGCTGGAGCTCGGCCTTTCCATGCTGTATTCTAGGTATCAGGAAGGAGTATGGGAAGGAGAAGAGTACTCTCCATTTTTTTACAGCAATTCCCAGAATTGCACAGACTGCTTTATTTACATTCTTTTGGCCAGAACTGAGTCACATGGCCATATCTAGCTGCAAAGGGGGGCTGGAAATGTTGGTTTCCTTTCACATATTCATGAGCCTAGCTAAAAATCAGGACCTGTAGCTGAAGAACAAGAGAATGTACCTGTAGTGACTCAAATTATGACACAAGGCAGAAGTCACCCAGGGAACTCACAGTTCAGGCCAAGGGTGCTCGACTGAAGCCGTTTACACCTCTGCTGCCCTAGGTCCTGGGGCTTAGGCAGGATGGGGTCATAGGACTCCCACTGTGGGAGGGAGGGGCTGTGCAGCTTAACCACAGTGCCTGGCTGTCCGAGTACCTGCAACCACAGCAACAGTGGGTATTGTTTGGGGGAGTAGGAGGACAGTCTCACTCTGTCACCCAGACTGGAGGGCAGTGGCTTGATCTCTGCTCACTGCAACCTCTACCTCCCAGGATCAAGCAGTTTTCCCACCTCAGCCTCCCCAGTAACTGGAACTACAGGCGCACACCACTATGCCTGGCTAATTTTTTGTACTTTTAGTAGAGACGAGGTTTCACCATGTTGCCCAGGCAGGTCTCAAACTCTTGGACTCAAGAAATCCACCCACCTCGGCCTCCCAAAGTGTTGGGATTACAGGTGTGTATACTGCTTCTTTTTAGAAGTAGGACCCTTCTTCGAATGAAACTTAATAAGACTCATATAAGCAACAGATAAGAAGTCATTCTGTTATCATAAGTATATTTTATAAATTCATTGTAGAACATCTAAAAAAATACAGAGAAGCAAAAAGAAAAAAAATCAAAATCTCTCCTAGTCCCAGACTACAGAGATGGCCACTATCAGTGTTTCGGCATATATTTTCATACATGTGAGTGAGTGTGTTTGCATGTGTGTGTAGAAACTTACCAGAAAGGAGTCACATGCTACACATTGTTAGAAAATCTTCTTTATCTTCACTTAATAATATGTAGTGGCCATCTTTGTGTGTCATTAAGTATTCTTTTTTTTTTTTTTTCTGAGATGAAATTTCACTCTTGTCGCCTAGGCTGGAGGGCAATGGCACAATTTCGGCTCACTGCAACCTCTGTCTCCCAGGTTCAAGCGATTCTCCTGCCTCAGCCTCCCAAGTAGCTGGGATTACAGGTGCCCACTACCACACCTGGCTAATTTTTGTATTTTAGTATAGATGAGGTTTTACCATGTTGGCCAGGCTGGTCTCAAACTCCTGACCTCAGGTGATCCTCCCACCTTGCCCTCCCAAAGTGCTGGGATTACAGGCATGAGCCACCACACCCAGCCAGCGTTATTTTTCAACAAGGGCCTTGCTTTCCATTTGCTGAAGGGATGGGTTGTAATTTGATCAATCCACTTTTCTTGGACATTTTGGTTGGTTCCAATTTTTATATCATTATAAACCAGGAATTAGCAAACGTTTTTCTGTAAAGAGCTAGCTGGCATTTGTTTTGGCCTTTGCAGGTCACAAGTTCTCTGTTAC